AAAGAAACAGACTTTCCGGAGGATGAGGCCCAGAAATCAGGATTTTAAAAAGATTCCCAGGTGATTCTAATGTGCAGCCAAGGTTGAGAACCACTGGTTTATAAGATTCTGACATCAGCCCCACGCACAGGGGCAAACACGTGCACACACATCTGCAGCCTCGGCGTGCCCACCGCCCCCAGGAATGGTTAGGCTCTCGGGTGCCTTCCCTCCCCGTGGCCTCGCTGAAGCCCAGCTGTCCCGGGTCCTCGCTGCTCCTGGGCCTCTGTCTTCGCAGCTGGATCCAAGGTCTCTGTTCAGCCTGGAGCCTCCCTCGCTCCGTCCTGCCTGCTCCTCCGGGGACGGGGCTCCCGGAGGCCTGGCCTGGAAGCACTCGGGCCTCAGAGCCGCCTGGGACCCCTCGGCCGCCCAGGCTGTGTCTCACGCCTTGCTCTCTGATCTCAGCACCTTTGCGTTCGTCCTCAAAGTTTATGTCTCTGTGCTCTTCGCGAGTCTCACTGGGAAACAGAACCTGAGGTTCTGTTATTTCTCACCCGGAAGAAGCCCTTTCTCTGGGCTCGGCATTTCCGGGGTCTCCCCTGCCCTGCCCAGAGCCCCCAGCCCTCCCTGCACCCCCAGCTCCTGGCCCCTCGGCATTTCCGGGGTCTCCCCTGCCCTGCCCAGAGCCCCCAGCCCTCCCTGCACCCCAGCTCCTGGCCCCACGTGGGTGACGGGGGTGAGGGCTTATGGCTGTTTCTACCTGGGAAAGCACTGCCCATGCCGTTGCTCTGACCTGCCCAGAGCAAGGGGTGCTGCTGCCCCTGGGGAGACCATAGGCAGGGCCCAGCTTCAGACACCCCGCTGGCCTCTGCCCAGGACTTGCAGGGGTTCCTGCTGGGATGGGGGCAATCTGGCCTCGCTGCCTGCCGTCCTGGGGTGTGTGTGTGCATTTGGACAGGGTCCTTTGCCCCCTCCCCGGCCCCCCCCAGTGCAGAGTGTGGCATCTCCTTGGTACCCTCCTATCACATGAGCAGTTTCTCAGGGTGTTGGGGAGTCAAGGTCTAGGAGGGGAAGGGTGAGCCCCAAGTCTTAGCTGTGGTCTGCAATAGCGGAAAGTGTGGGGGGGTGAGGGGTCGGGGGCGGAGAGAATCTGCCATCGGGACTTCCTCCTGCCGCTGCCCACACAGGGGGTGGCTGCTGTCGGGAATCCCATGTCCTCTGCCCCTTGTGGCCTCTCTGTGCCCAGAGGGGCAGGCTCGGGCCTCACCTGAGCCACCTCTCCAGTTCCATCCGGTGTCCGGGTCCCCGGGAGCCAGGGTGCAGCGGGAGGGGAGGGCAGCGGGCTCTGCGCCCCCCTCACCTCCCTGCTCCCTGCAGGTCATCGGCAGCTCGCTCCTCTTCATTCACGACAAGAGGGAACAGGCCAAGGTGTGGATGATCGACTTTGGGAAAACCACGCCCCTGCCCGAGGGCCAGACCCTGAAGCATGACGTCCCCTGGCAGGAAGGGAACCGGGAGGACGGCTACCTCTCGGGCCTGAACAACCTCATCGACATCCTGACGGAGATGTGCCCGGGCCCCGGCGCCCCTGTGGCCTGAGTGCACTACAAGACACTTTGTAGAGGAGACAAGGCTTTCTAGTTCTTTTCCTACTGAAGGGCTTTGGCGCTGGGCTCCCATTTCTCTCCGTAAGTAGGTCTCCTTCTAGAAGCGCAGTGCCCACGCCAGGCTCCGCTGCCCGCTGCCCGCTGCCCGCGGGGGAAGTCAGTTGGGATTCCATCTGGCTGGAGGCTCAGGGGCCCCGGGGTGCCGCGCCTCCGGCGGGCTACCTGTGGGCGCTTGCTGCCCCCTGGTGGCCAATGCCATTAGTGACGCTGCCCAGCACAGCCAGTCTCTGCCCCATCCTCCCGGGCCCGCTGGGGCCGTAAGAGCCTGTTTCAGCGGGTGCCTGGTGCCCGGCTCTCTTGGGGTTGGGGCACAGAACCACCGGGAACGCGTGTCGGCCCTGAGTAGAGCACCTCCGAGGAGCAGCCGGGGGTCCAGGACGTGTGGGGCCTTCATGGCCCCTTTGCGGTGTGTGTTGAATTCCTCCAGCGTTGGGCCGGGCCCGGGAGCCAGGAGCAGGCTGTGCCCTCTGGTGTTGCCTCCCCAGTTCTTCCATCTGCGGTTCTCCCCCATGACTTCAGAGCTTCCAGGGCGCCGCCCACCCTGAGCCAATTGTGCTGCCCACTGCCCCCTTGGCCTGTGTGACGTGCCAGGGGTGGGGGTCAGGGCCAGGCAGCCCGGGGGAGAGAGACCTGCATAGGACATGCCTCGCCCTCACCGCCCCCACCTCCCGGGTGGCGTTCAGTGGCCCTGCCTGCTCGCCGGGGTTCTCTCGTGAGGCCCCGAGTCCCCTGCAGCTCGGGGCAGGGCTTCAGGCCAGCCCTGGGCAGGCAGGAAGCAGCAGGAAGCCGGCTCCTGGCATCTGTTTTTCCCCCTGAAATAGGTCTGACGTCCTGAAGGGCTGAGCCCTGTATTCCCATGTGGGGTGGGCAGGTCCAGAGCACATGTGGCATCTCTTCCTGGGGTCCAGGTCGCTGGAAGGCTGGTGGGGACCCAGCTGTGAGCCTTATTCTAACTGTAAAGCAAGTGCGTTTGTATTACAGGGAGGGGGGTGAAACTTGCGTGACTTTTGAAGGCAGCGTCCCGGCTGTGGCCATGGAGAGCGGTGCCCCCGGGGCCCCCCTTGTTGTTGGAGGAGAGTTGGGGACCAGGCCAGCAGCCACTGGGGCCAGCTCCTCCACGGAGCGCTGCTTCGGGGACACGGGGAGACCGTGTGCGCCCAGGTGTGTGTACCTGGAGGGACCGATCCAGAGGAGGGCTCCCCGTCACCCGGGGCCTCGGGGGGGAACTGTCAGCTTCGCCCACATGACACGGTTCCCCTTTCACGCTGGGTTAGTGACAGTTGGTGGGGGTGGAGGGTGGGGTGCGAGGATGTAGAAGTTCAGATTTTAAAAAAGGAAATCACTTTTCAACTTCCTGGCTCTTGTTCAAAACAGTGGTGAGCTCTGGTGTGGGCCGACCTGCTAAAGGTCGCACCCCTGCCCCACCACCTGGTGACGGGCACGTGACCCGGAAGGGGCTCTCCCCCACCCGGGGCCTCGGGGGGAACTGTCAGCTTCGCCCACATGACACGGTTCCCCTTTCACGCTGGGTTAGTGACAGTTGGTGGGGGTGGAGGGTGGGGTGCGAGGATGTAGAAGTTCAGATTTTAAAAAAGGAAATCACTTTTCAACTTCCTGGCTCTTGTTCAAAACAGTGGTGAGCTCTGGTGTGGGCCGACCTGCTAAAGGTCGCACCCCTGCCCCACCACCTGGTGACGGGCACGTGACCCGGAAGGCAGAGCCCCAGCCGTCTCCACGGGGCGGG